AAATCAGATGTGTTGAGCTTCAGAAAGATAATGGCTGAAATGTAGAGAGAGCAGCTAAAAATGACCAGTTCTTGTTTGTTGGTGAACAAGGTCTTTGTTAAAAGGAGATTCGCCTTTTATCAGACAGTTGAAAACTATTATTGTTATTTCTATAACTGATATTTGACATCCAGACTTTGACTTCATCAGTAGGTGCTGGGCTATACTGTCTTGTTAGCATTTTCAATGTGTGATCTGTGTGAGTGCCACCAACCGCTCCCAACAAAGCACCTTCATTTACAGTAATGAATTCAGAATTTAGTGCAAGGAGATTGGCAGTGCCAAAACAACCAGTCAGTTCACTGATTAGTCCATTAACAGAAAATTAATCTACAACATTTTTGGCAGCATTTTATGCCTTTATTAGATTACTAATAGAGAGAGAGAGATGACCAGAAATGAGTGAACAGAGTGAGACCATTGCAGTTCCTGGTCAGCACCTCAACCCCAAGACCACCCGGGTGCTCAGCAACTGTTTAAGTTGTCTGTTCTGTATTTTACTGTAAATTCACTGTCTGGGTTTTGGACTCTCTCTCTCTCAACCCAACCTGTCGAGGCAGATGGCCGCCCACCCTGAGCCTGGTTCTGCTCGAGGTTTCTGCCTCTTGAAAGGAAGTTTTTCCTTGCCACTGTTGCCAAGCGCTTGCTCGTGGTGGGAATTGCTGGGTCTCTGTACTCAATATTATGAAAAGTATGGTCTAGACCTGCTCTATATGTAAAGTGCCTTGAGATAACTTCTGTTGTGATTTGGTATATATATATATATATATATATATACATACCTATATACTGTAAATAAAAAAATGACTTGACTTGACTGATGGTTGGACAAAAGAGCAGACTGATTCACAAAGCAACTCCACTTGGGCTCTGGGGAATTGTGACAGCCATTGACAGTGAACAGATTAATTGTTAATAAAAAATAATCATTAGTTGGGACCTTAGAGATGAATCAGTCTGAATGTGGTAATTCGCCTGACATGCAGCAGCATGCCTTTTAAAGAGGTGAGCTGAGGTACCTAAAGCACACACATTCATTTGCCACGTACAAAGTGGCCTAAGGACCATTTATGTCTAGACATACAAATATTGCACATTATGGTGGACCTCTAAAATGACAATTTTTTTACAAATTGCAATAAATGTGTTGGAAAATTACCCTCTCCCTCTTGTTGCCAGTGTTATGCTTTAATGTTTGTGATTTCTTTAACACTATATATGATTCTGACCTTCCTGTTACTCAATCTTTCCAATCACTTAACCAGCTTTAAGAGCTACCATATGCCTCTTATAACATATATAATGTCCTTGGCTCTTCCACTTACTCAGTCTCTCTGTTTCTTCCTCCCCTTCACTCCACCTGGTGACCTGGATTGTTCCGTCTTCTGGAGCAGAATCAGAGAGGAGTCCTTGGCTTTTGAAGAGATGCTTCGTGCTGCAGCAGACATTGCCAACAGACTAGAGAGCTCATCACAGGCCCTGCAGGCCTCATTCACCAAGCAGCTGAAAGACATAATCAAAATCCATCACTAAGGAAGTGTTGAAAAGCTTTTAAAACTGTTCATACATCATCCCATTACTCATGGATGTTGTTTGATATCCTGCATGAGACCCAGAAAAAGAGAAATAAACCTTCCCGCAATTCTATTCTTTTTTTTTTTTTTTTTTACCCATGTGTTCTTCGCAGCACTGAGATACATTACACCAACTGCAAGAATAACGAAAGACGAAGCTCTGACAGGATGGTTGATAACTTCACATCATGTGAATGATGACAGAAAATAGCACAGAAATTTTGGGTGAAAAAATAAATACGTTTCCTTTTCAAAGAAGTGATAACCCCGTAACCCATAAAATTTTATTTTCCATGCATCATTTGTGGAATTCGTGAGGTCAAACATGGCAACAGTATGTGGCGCAGCTTTGAGCCAAGTTGAGTGTTTATGGATCAAACTAGATTGGCCTTCAGAGACCAAACATAATGACTCTGTTAGTCTTCTCCAGAGGAAGCTATGGATCGGCCATCTGGTTCCAGGGTGAGGATGGAGGCCAGGATAGAGTGTTTCAATGGAGATTTTGTTTTTGCAACAAAATAAGAAGCAGACTGCAACAGGGACAGCTTTGTTATACAGGGATATCTGTTGTCTAGAGAAGACTATGCAATAACCTGTGGATGAGGGATAAGAAATTGTATAATGATTTGACAGTTCCTGTCATTAGGAAGAAATATGCAGGAACACACGATCAGAAAACTTGATACAGCACTTAAAACACAGAAACTCTGACTATGCACACTGTTTAAAAAAATGCTTGCAAGTTTATAAGTGTTTGTTGGATTTATCCATTCAAACATGAGAACAAAGCTTTAGTTTTGTTCCATTGTTAATCCTGCCACTACTCATGGGAGGGAATGCCTTGATATTTGCGATCATAAAATATGTAATAATATGAATTTGTACAATGTATGATATGAAGAATGTATGATCCAGTAAACAGCAACAAACAACAAATTTGCCTTTTTGTTTATTGTTTTTGAAAGCTTCAAAATGTTTTCTGTTGCCATTTGTTGTCATGCTTGCGCAAGTTCTACTCTCACATTGATATTTTGGGAGAAACTAAAACTTCTCAAAGCATATTCAGTCACCTAGTCTGCCCTCTAGCTGTTATCCATAGAAAAATCCCACAGACGTTTGGTCAGCTGCATGTGTCACTCATCATTTAATGTTCAATTAAATAAATGACCAGTCAGTCTGAACTCTTTTGAAGGAAACAGGTTCTAATAACTGGTCGACCATTTCCCATACCTGCAAGTTAAAACTTTTACAGTGAATCTGTGTGTGTGTGTCTGTGTGCGTGCCTGTGCATGTGAAAGAGAGTGAGCAAGAGAGAGACAGGAGGAGGGACTGTTATAGGTACAAGAGGAAAGACAGGAAGCACTCAGATGTAACCTGTCCTCTCAGGGTGGATGATGCCGTTTTGCGGACCTAATGAACCAGACTGGTAACTCACAATGATTCTAATCATGGAAAAGAGCTAATTTAAGGTTTTAAATGGACATCAAAGTCTTAGATCAGGCCACCAGGGACGCGTAAATTCTTGGCACAATGCGCAAAAAGGTGGAATTGTTTGGATAATGTATTACTCAGCAACAAACCGGACTATTTTCGGTGATTTAATTTCTTGAGACCAGTCTTGTATCAGTTCATGAACTGGTAGTTAAGTCTGCAAAATAAACCAGCTGTAAGCTACAGTGTTACGCTGCCGCTCCCTGATTCAGCACCGAGTGATGGATAGCTCTCCGACTGAGTGCGCGGAAACAGACTCGCTCTCATCCCCTCTGAACAGAGCTCCAAGTGCGCAGGGAGACACGTCCATCGATGCCGACATTTAGGGAAAAGGCACCAAAGTTATTCAGGCAGATTATCGTCATACTCTCTCCCCGCCCACAGATATAAAGCCGGCTATTGTGACATTAGTGGTGGAGTTGTCCTGACATGCCTCCCAGTTGCGAAGATGACAGATTTTGCTCACACATCACGGTTTCGAGATAACGTTTTGATAGCGGACGGAAACACCTCCGTGCTCTCCGGGGAAGTTGGTCTCCTCTTTACCACCAGAGAACAAAATGGGATACAACCACCTGTTCTCTTTATGGACGGCTGTTGTGTGGCCGTTCCTCCTCTCTGGGTCAGGTAAGTACTTTTGAAATATTTTCAACGTGCCTTTCAACAAATGAAAAAGTACATTAAACATGTCACCAACGTCATGACAACGTGAATTAAAATGTTTAAGGCGACATTTTACAAGAGTACTGTGCTAATTCTGAAAGAGTGAGTGCTGCATGTTCTACAATTTACTAAACGATAAACTTTTACATTAAAATGGTCCCAAAAGTACCTAAGTGTACCCTACCGCTCATGAATTTTAACACCACAACTCCCATGAGCCTCCTCTCACGATCACGTAATTAATCGTCGCGCGCAAATCTACTAAAAGCGCCTCGTGCAAAAGTATGTGTCGCATCTTAGCAGAGTGATACAACGTCCCATCACTGATTAATGTTGTCCCTCCGCATAAACGCGACCACTAGAGCTGAACTGCGAGAGAAAACCGTTTCTCTCCACTGCGTTTAAATTTAGGAAGACCTCTATGTCCTGCTTCTACAGCAGAGAGAGTAAATTCATTATCCTTTACTCGACCGTACAAATATAGAAACTGCCAAAGACAAGCAGTGTACTTCTAAAAAAATAAAAAAAATAAAAAATCACAGTCCTCTGAACAAACTCAGAAAATATTTCACACAATCTGCTACAACAGGTGTCATATTTATGTTTCAACAAGACAAAGATGCATATTTATAGTCAGAATATGGAGGGTTCAAGGCCAGAGTTAATTCCTGATTTGCCTCACTTTTTGTTAGAAAATAAAAACTATTATGATACTGGATCTGTTGTGCACATTTTCAAGATCTTTTTCTGGACATATTGTGGAAACTGTTTAGAATTTCAATCCATCAGGCTTGACAGTGGAAGTAGGGGCGGCTTGATATGGAATTCAATTCAGGTGCTGTTACAAGGACCTGGGCTATTTAACATGTCTAGTGTCCTTTCATTCAAATGCAAGCAAGGATTGTGTGCACAATCTGCAGTGTAAGATAACATATGTGGTCTTGTGACATAAGCACAGCCTATGTGCCTTCCTTCCATCTCTACATGCTACAGCAGTCATATGTGCTGGTTCTTCACCTCATGCCAATGTACTTCTCATTACAGCAATGACAGAGTTCAGCTTTCCCACTTGAGCTCTGCAATTTTAGTCAACTCACAGAAAATTGTTGCATGCTGGTCTTTTTTTTTTACTGAACTTTTTTACTGTAAGTATTTGACAGCCCAATTTCGCCAAGAGCGCCTCTGGCCTGAGAAGCTGCTGACTCGATCATCCAAACTGGTCAGTGTTTCAAGCACCTCGCCAAGAGGCTTGGCCACAGTCCAACATCCATGTCCCAGTGTGCTGGACGTTGGAGGTGTCATCTCAAGTCTCTGCTGGCAGGAGGCTTTGATCTATGGCACCCAACAGCCTTTTTTCAAGCTCCACATCTGGTCCCTCCCAGATGTACGGACACCGCACTCGCCTTGACTGTCAAGAGAGCAGATAAGAAGCCTCTTGTGCATGAGTGTTTGTCAGATTGAAATTAGTTCATGATGGCAGATAAGCACATGTGTACCTTGGTGAATTCACATAATATTTACCATGTCGATGTCTGCTTTCTACCAACTACTCCTAGATATTGGACTGTTTTGTATATTGGACCAGTCTGTTAAAGCCCCTCAAGCCAAGCTGTTAGCATAGGCAATAAATCATGCAAGCAGAATTGCATTTATCCTTCTGGTTAGCTCTGTGCAGCATTTTAGCCCCTTACCTCCTACAGTTAAAGGTTGTGAGGACTTGTCAATGTTGTCATCAGAACTAAACTCACCCATGGACAGGTAATGATGTGGCCTTGGCTAAGCAACCATGACTGCTGCCAGATGTGGGTGGTCCAAGGTCTTGTTTTCAGATCCTTGTTGGTAGCACACATCATTGGGCTGCATTATACCCGTGCAATGTCAAACAGAGCTCTAGAGGGAGTTGGGTGTTAACAGCACGTAAACCGATTAGAATTAAAAAAAAATTGTATTGATTTTTGAAGTTTGGCTTTGGTGTGATGATTCCATGAGTTTTCTTTCTGTACAATAAACATTCAACAAATTTCATCTGTTTGCAAAAATGTGATTACTTAAGGTAATAGTTTGACATTTTGGAAAATACCCTTATTCGCTTCCTTGCTGAGAATTAGATGAGGAAATCAGTACCAAGACTTAAATGAAAAAATTACAAATTGCCATTTTTAAGGTTTTTATGTCAGATTATTTGTCTTCTTTACATTTATGTTTTTGTATAGATTAAACAAACAAGATATGACATGGTAATTAGTGAACTTTAAAGGTGCTAGTATGGGGATTTTGTTACCTTTGCTAAACGAATTAGCTGATGGCCGTATTCTCATATTTATTGTAAAGATTTGAAAGGGGTATCAATCGTCTCATCTACTTCTCTGCAAGAACGTGAATAAGCATTTTTCTAAAGATGTTGAACCATTACTTGGAGAGTAAAACACCAAAGTCTGACCAAGTGTAAAATCAGTGTAAATCATCCAATCTGATGATAGGTAACAAGTAACTGCAGTACAATAAGGCCAAAGATATGTTTGAAGTAGTTCAGAAATGGTGCCACTTTTACATAGTTTAACAGAATAGTTTGCCATAATTTGTATATTCTGGTCAGGAGTCTTCAGAAAAACTAAATTTCCAAAACCCCAGTATCAAACACATTGTTACCCTCTGCTTCAGGTGAAAACTGTCAGCTAATTGTTTTATGCATCAGTTGTAATACAGAGTGACAGACAGCTCAACAATAAACACCCTGCACTACTGAGAAATTAGCTCACCTCCACTTAACACTAGCAAGTAATGATGTGTGTAATTGACTCTGACTACATTGATGAAGGTGGAAGCGGTAATCCCCAAGGGCCGGGATTCCTGTCTATTTCCATGCTATTCACACTGCAGAAAAATTATACAGTGACTCAGTCTGAGATTGTGTGCAAATCTGTCTAGACTGCATATACAAAATCAATTTGATTAAGCTACCTCTCACCGTGAAGCCACATGTGCATAACAATAACACTTCAGAGATAAAGAGAGGTTACTCTTGAAATGGTGTCGATGTTGAGGGAGGAGAGATAATTCCCCAGTCTCCACCAGCTCACCTTGCGAGATTTTAGCAGGCAACCCTCACGGGGAGCTCAGATCAAGAGATCAAAAGATTTGCTAAGATGCAGAAAAGTCGATAAGACTTTACCAAGAAAAGTCTAAGATGTTTCGAGTAGGCTTGTGTGCAGAGACGCAAGATGTTCGCAACACTCACCCTCACTCCCAAAAGCCACAATATCATGCCAGTTTGATTTACTGCTGTTTGTTAAGTGAGGATTAGGGGAGACATGGAAGAGAGAACATGGATATGATCCCTATATACTGTGAAACTCCCTTACTCCTGTCCTCTTCCATTTAATTATTATGTTCCCTGTATATCTTACCTGTTAAATGCCAACAAAACAAAGCCAGGAGTTAAAACCGCTCAAATGACTTTGATGTCAAAATATCAAAACGACATCAGGAACTTTGTTTTACAGAAATTTCATTCATAGAACATTGAATAAATGTCACTAATTTATAAATTTCATTACTCCCTTAATGTATCTCTCTTCTATAAAGATTTCAATCAAAATAGAGGGTATGGTTTAAAATAGTAGCTGTAATGTGTCCACAGTTCTCTGTCACGAGAAGACGCACTCCCACGCTGAGGATGAGCTCTTCAAGACGCTGTTTGCTGGTTACAACAAGTGGTCGAGACCAGTGCCAAACATTTCTGATGTAGTCATCGTCAAGTTTGGACTGTCCATAGCACAGCTCATTGACGTGGTGAGTCTTTAAGTATAGATTGTCGATATGTTCAGCATGTTTGTCCAATTTATATAGCACATTTAAACAATAAGATGTTATACAAGCTCTTTTTGGTTGTAGCTGCTGCTTTTATTGTGATTCTTTTAAAATCATAGCTATGTTACTAAATATTTTACACAGTTAATGTTTTATTATTTAAAAAAAAAAAAGTCACATTAAAAGGCCTCATACTACTGATTATTCTCTCTTTGAAAGTTTCATTTGAAAACATGTATTTTGTATAAGACTTTGGTTCACAATGGATTCCACTGTCAGACTAAGTAGAAGACAGAATTTTTTTCAAGTGCAATAACCTATCCCTAGAGTTTTAATCAATATGATTAATAATTCTATTGTTCTCCCTATACTTAGCAAAACTTGGCACTGCATGTTTAATGCTATATGTTTATAGGTTTTTCCACTGCATGTTTTTGCATTTTTACATACAGTAGCAAAAACAAACTTTGAAAAAAAAACTACATTATGCACTCTGTGCCATGTCACAGGGTGTGACACAAACTGTTTCAGAACTCTTCACATCCATCAAGTAATAGAAGTTCCTGCAAGCTATATTTGGGTCTGCTTTGACAATCCTCCAGAAACCTCTCACATATATTCTTCTGGCCTGAACCCAGAGTTGACAGCCTTAACTCAGTCTCTGTGTCTCTGTCTGTCTCTGTCTGTCTCCCTGTGTGTGTGTGTGTTTGTGTGTGTGTGTGTGTGTGCGTGTGTGCGTGCGTGCGTCTGTCTGTCTGTCTGTCTGTCTGTCTGTTAGGATGAGAAGAACCAGATGATGACAACCAATGTGTGGCTTAAACAGGTTAGAAATGAAATGTGTCAGTGTTCATTTATTATTAAGATTGTTTCTCAAAGAGGGGATATGATGATATAAAATATTAAAAACATGACATTTGACAATGTTTATGAAGAATTGAATGACTTTTATGACAATTAAATAAAGAATCACAGCCCCCTAAAGCACCTCTTTTGTTTGTATCTCCCAGGAGTGGAACGACTACAAGCTTCGCTGGAGACCGTCTGACTATGACAATGTGACGTCCATAAGAGTGCCATCAGAGCTCATATGGGTACCAGACATCGTCCTCTATAACAAGTAAATATCACTCAATTTGCAGATTATTATCTTGATTAACTGATTGATGTTAAAAAACACCAAAGATTGGCCATCACAATTTGCCAGAGCATGAGCAAATTGCTTCAGGCATTCAGTTTATTGTCATAGAAAACAAAGAAAATCAACAAATATTCATATTTGAGATTCTTGGTCCAGCGATTGTTTTTAGTTTTGCTTTCAAAATTAGTTTTTAAATGATAAATTATTATTTGTAATTTAAATTATTATTCAAATGATTGAATAATCTGTCCGTTAACTAATCAATAAATTGACTAATCTATACAGCTCTGCTTAACATAAGCACAATATTTAAGGGGTTTCATGATCAGGTCACAGCAACTATTTCTGTCTGTTATACTGAAAATGTAATGTAAGGGTTATTCTAAAACAGTGAGTGTTTATAATGTTGCACATAAACAACAACTGTCAACTCACACTGGTTCAAATAGATGCCGCTTGACTGGATGATATCTGGTAGGAGGATGGCACCATCTAGTGGAGTCACAACATAAATGTTGTGCTTTGTTAGGATTTCTATAACTTGTCATTTTGGATTACAAATTACATTACATGTTACTTTTCCTGCATCTGTCACTTCTACTATAGTTGCAGTTTATTTATGTAAAAAATGAAGACAACCTATAAACATGTATTGCTTTAGTGTGAAATCTATTGTGTTATGAAATTTACCACTTTCAATGTATCTCTCCTCCCTCCTCCTAAATTCACCTCATGGAGATTAAACTGAGAAAGGTTGATGATGGAGCTCTGCTCCATGGAGCTTGTGTAATCACAGTCTGTAAGTGAAATTAAAAAAGGTGTGAGACTGATGAAATGATAAGGACTCGTCATTACGTTTCCAGCAGGAGCTATTATCACCATTAAAGCGATGAATGGAGGGGAGATTACCTCAGAAGATTATTATTTGGGAAATCATAACACTTTTTCACTGCGCGGTTTCTAAAAGGAAAAAAAAGGCGGTGGCAGGACTTTTCACAGTCCAGGGTGTGATTGCTTATCTGCTATTTTAGCTTCTGTTCAGTCAGATATTTAAAACTGAGCTCTCATATTGTATGTCACCATCACTCATATGATGACCTCTGCTTTTCCAGTGCTGACGGTGAGTTTGCTGTGACTCACATGACAAAAGCTCACCTATTCCACACGGGTAAAGTTCGCTGGGTCCCGCCTGCTATTTACAAGAGCTCCTGCAGCATCGATGTCACCTTCTTCCCCTTTGATCAGCAGAACTGTAAAATGAAGTTTGGTTCTTGGACCTATGACAAGGCCAAGATTGACTTGGAGCGAATTGAAAACACTGTGGACCTCAACAACTACTGGGAGAGCGGTGAATGGGCCATCATCAATGCTGTGGGAACGTACAATACAAAGAAATACGACTGCTGCCATGAGATCTACCCAGACATCACCTACTTCTTCATCATCCGAAGGCTTCCCTTGTTTTACACCATCAACCTTATCATCCCATGTTTGCTGATCTCTTGCCTCACTGTCTTGGTTTTCTATCTGCCCTCAGACTGTGGAGAGAAGATCACCCTTTGCATCTCTGTGCTGCTGTCCCTCACTGTCTTCCTTCTCCTCATCACAGAGATCATACCGTCCACATCTCTCGTCATCCCTCTCATCGGCGAGTACCTCCTATTCACCATGATTTTCGTCACCCTGTCCATCGTCATCACTGTCTTTGTGCTCAATGTGCACCATCGCTCTCCCAGCACTCACAAGATGCCCCGCTGGGTCCACTCAGTGTTCCTGGACCTGATCCCACGCTGGCTGTTCATGCGACGGCCTGCGCCAGATGGCCGGCGTCGCAGGCTGTTGCTGCTCCAGCAGGAAGCAGCGGCAGAGCGACGGCAGGGCCGAATAGCTGGGAACAAATCTGGCAACTGCCTCAGCACCTCAGCTAACTGGTTAAGAGATGGGACCACATCGGAGGACCCTGAGAGAAGCTGTTACGAGGATTTAGAGCTGGGAACGCTGACGTCTTATTTCTCCTTCCGTCCCCCTTCGCCCAGACCTCCAGGATCTACTCCTCCGCCGCAACAGAAAACCCCACAGAACAGCCAGAACCGTCAGGAATCAGCAGGAGGGACGAACAGACAGTTAACTGGGGCTAGAGTCAATCCCACTCAGCGGCCAACTAAAGTAGAAAATACTGCATCAGACTCAAAATTCCTGCTTTCACCAAGTGTTATACGTGCATTAGAAGGGGTGCACTACATTGCAGACCACCTGAGGGCTGAGGACGCTGACTTCAGTGTAAGTATCAATGAAATACCACATCACTTCAAACACAATATCCTCATTTCACTGTTTCTCTGCAAGGGTTCATGATTTACTATATACCCTTCTCAATTACATACACTATAACTCCCTCATAGTATGAGGATCATGTGTATGAAGACATACTGTGTACTGTGCTGTAAACCACACATCTTAAATTCACTTGGATTACTGAAGTTAAACACATGGTGAGTGATATATGTGATACATTAGTAACACTAAAATCAAGAAGATGATTATTTTGATGGGGTGGTAACCAATTGGAGCCAGAACAGTAATTTCCTACAAAGCACTGAAAGTAAATGAGGTGCAGCCAAGAAAGAACTGTTTAAGACGCAGGAGGCAGAGCAGGTCAGCTGATCAGCAGCATAAGAAATATGCATGAGCATGAAAAGTAGGCTTCCTGATTGAACCTCCAATAACCAATATAGTTCATTATGACAATTTCATATGTACTACTGGTCTCTCTCATTTCTTGCTTTCTCTGTTGCTCTTCACTCTACACAGGTGAAAGAGGATTGGAAGTATGTCGCCATGGTGATTGATCGCATCTTCCTGTGGATGTTCATTATTGTGTGCCTGCTTGGGACTATTGGCCTTTTCCTGCCCCCTTGGCTAGCTGGCATGATCTAGCGCTTGAGAGAAAGTGTTGAATATTTAAAAAAAGAAGAAAAAAAAAATCCACCACCACCTTCACTTGAGTGATGTTTGACATGTAAAATGTAGCTGAACTCTACTTTAACACGGGGAATGTGACTGAAGTTTGTGTAACACTGAGCAGCCCAGTTTGCAGCCTCACGAGGCAACACTCTTTACATACCAACAAACCAAAACTATGAAAAACTAAAAAGAAGGACTGTGCTGTGTTTAGATCCCTCTGAATAGTGGGGCACAAACTGAATGGTCGCTACAGTGGCAAGTTTAGGATATCTCAGACTCAGATTGTCAGACTCGGCTGTCCAGACTTGGCTCAACTTTAATAGGTCTAAGTTGCACTTTGTCGTCAGCCTCAGGTGTATCCCTCAACCTCACCTGTGAAGTTAGGCTGTGTTTGACCTGAATGCTAACATTAGCATGCCTGTTAGTGGCAAGCTAATGTTTAGCACAGAACATTTAGCATGTTAACATGCTAATGTTAACGTGTAAACATGCCAATATTTAGTATATATTTAGCATTAGCGTAACATGCTAGTTAAATGGCGTAGTGCCAGCATCATTTGGGTACTTTGTTACACAAATGTGATTACTTTTTTCGGTAGTTTTAGGAATTACAATTTAAAAGTCACTGACATAATTGCATTACATTTACTACTACCGTTGGCACCTGTAACGGCCGTAAGTAAACTTGGTGTCTTACCGGAGGTCAGAGGCTCGACATCAGGTTTTCGTCTCCTTGTAGCTTGTTGCTGTTTCCTTTAGACAGAGCAAACCGCTATCATCCACCGAAAGAGAAGAAATACGACTTCTGGTAACTCCAAATTTGTGTTGTTGTTTTTTTCTTAGCCGCATAGCTAGCCCCTCGTATAAGCAGGAATGTCCCGGGTTTTGTTTAGAGCTGGAATATGTGTGAATGAAGGTCTTTGAGCACCAGTTAGCTGTCAATGGACAGAAGATAAATACATACAGTGCCTCGGCTAGCTGCTCTACGAAGTGTGTGAGAGTGTCTGCTTTAGAGTTAAGGCACTAGTTGGGCTGGGTAACGTTAATAAATGTAACTAAATACTGCTGCTGTTTAGTTACAAGTAAAGCAATATGGTTGCATTTTGAACGACCACTAAGAAACTGATTAATTTAATTTCCCAAACTAGAATGGCACTCAGGAGAGCATGCCTCTGTCAAGTCCAAACAATCTTACACGTCTGAAATCCAGATAATAATCTTGGTCTGGAAAAGTAATTTAGTATAATTATGATCCAGATAATTATTTGGATCTGCACCAAATTGTACAGTCATAGATCTCAACACCATACATGTCTGTTTTTTTGTTTTGTTTTGTTTTTTTACATCAAAATCCATAAATTATTTCTTGAAAAATTGATGAAAGTCTTGAAAAATGCCCTGTTGCAATGTTAAATGATAAAAAAATTCCTGGATCCACGCCTTTAACTGGATCGAGACTAACATTTAATTGGTGCTTCTCTGGCCCATGCCCCATTCCTCTACTAAATTTGGTGCAAATCGGTTGAGTACTTTTTGTGAAAGCTTATGGTCAAACAAACAAACAAACAAACAAACAACCAAGACATGGGTGAAACCTTCTTGGCAGAGGTAATAACTTGCACAACACTGGTCTTCAGTAGCAGGAGTCTAAAAGTACAGCCGATGCTGACATGATTTCATTCAGTACTTTTAGAGGTATCCAGCCTTGAACTGAGATGACAAGTGGACATTTAGATGTGCTGGTGGTGCTGGACCAGCAGTGACTGACTGCTACAATGTGGGTAAAAGTAATGTAGTAGAATTATGAGCAATGAGATGTTTGGCTTGTGCCAGATTGGAAAAACTCTGGTGGGTCATGAACCGCATTCAATACAAGATGAGATGGCATTTATCTAAAGGGTTTGTCAGCTCCCTCTGGTTTTGACAGTTTGACCAACAGTGGCATGCTGATCTAACAGATCTTTACTGTACACTAACTTGGGTCATTTGTACTGGTTTAGAAAGAATTTGCATTTTTATGGACTTTTTTTCTGGCCATGTTGCCACAATTAAACTTATTTTTGAATGATCATACACTATGTAATAAATGCCATGATGAATAAATAAATGACAGATTTTCATTTCCGCAGTTGCCATAAATGATACTCATGTCTATTACCTATAAAAAATAGATTAAAGGTTAGGTAACCTTTGCTTTAGTCATTGCTGAGTGAATTATAATAACTGCCACGTTTCCCTTTTGGTGCTTTGCTCCATTCTTAATCTGCACAATTACTTTCTTCCCAGCAGCTTTTTGTAACTTGTCAATCTTCCAGAAATGTTGGATTTTCTGAGGAATTTCACCTTGAATTTCCCAAACGGGTCCAAATGAGAACTGAAAGATTATTATCAATACTTGGTCACAAATTTCACAGTGAGAGGAAATGCAAAAGACACAGATACTCAACATCAACAGGACGTATGCTACAATGAACAGGCATTCATGTACAGTAGTATACATCATATTTATTTTTATATCATTGGAATTATGTGCTACAATTTCATATTTTATGGTAATGATAACAGACACAATACAACAACCTTTGACTCAAGTTGAACAGACTTTAGCTGACAGTTCATTATCCATACCATTGTAAGTCTTCATCATAATTTATATAAAATGCTTACAATTTTAACATAATGTGTCTGGAAAGTATAGATATATAAAACGTTTTTTGCTAGCTGATGGACCTTATCATTCTGTCATGCTCACATTTCACACACGCTACTGTTGACAGGTTTGAAAGAGTAAAGAGTTTCTGCAGTAAAACCAATAAGACACATTTCATATTTACAAGGATGTTTTAAATTCTGAGCAGATATTTAAACCAGTAAGTAACCAATCACAAATGAAAACAGTTTACATCAAATGAAATTTGTAAGGACTGACTGCAACCTTAACACGATGCTTGAGATTTGTAGACTGTCATATAAATCTCCCATTTACTTTGGTAAGCATTCCCATCTGACTTGTACCATTATATACTTAAATTTACCAACACACATTTACAGGGCGATGATTGTCCAAAGAAGCAACAGCTCAGCAACGGCAGCAACTGTTGGCAATGATTTGTTCACAACAACTGTGTGCAAATGTTAGGTCTGACTGATGAGAAATGGTCAGATTTAAGCTTAATGTGTAAACAGAACCAGAGCACTTTACACTCCACTAGGGGTCCACAGGCTTAGCTAAGTTGGCCCTGACTCTTGCTTGGTCCACAGCATCCAACATGTTCTTGCTGTCCATTGCCAGAGTGTGCGCTGCAGCCAGCAACTGTTTCTTACACTCCTCCTTCAAAGAGGTGATGGCGTTCTGCTGCGCCAGCCGCATTTTACTGATCAGCTCCGCCATGTCGTTGTTCAGCAGCTTCTGGGTGCCCTCGATCTGGTAAACAAACAATGGATTTAAATTCATTTTCTCATCAATAATTTACAGTGGGCGTGCACAAAATGAACACAATAACAATGTAGGGCAATTGAATTAAATAGAAAAACACTATCTTTAGGAAGCTTATAAATGTTCAGTTTTTTTGTTGAGATTGCTACAGGGATATGTTGAAAACTTTACATGTTATTATTATTAAAAATTTAAATGTGTGGATTTGTAGAAACCCACTTTGAGTGTCCTCAGTCAGAAAAGGAAACAAAAAAAAAATATTCTTTGCATGTTTGTAGTTCTCTCTTTTTGTTTCAGGGACAAGCAGAGGGACTAAGCATGGGGAAAAGACAATAAACAATAAAGAAAGGAAGCAGAGAGATGAGAAAACAGAGCAAACGAGCTGAAGGTGATGTAGTGTACCTCGGTCCTGACAGACTCGTGTAAGGTGGGCAGTATGTCATCCACATTGCGAATCAGATCTCGTAAAGCCATTCCTACAGACTGGGGGCAGAGATCAATACAGAGAGTTAATCAGCTGCATGACTCAGGAAGTTTGTGTTTGATTCATGACCTTCAAATTAGATGATAAAGACGAACTGAACTGTAGAACAAACTGTAAAGAAATTAAATTAAAAAAAAGAAAGAAAAAAAAATTAGAAAACTGTCTCACTGTACCTTGACAATGGTGATATATTCATCTGGCTGCAGTTCAGTGATGTCATTCTTGAGTTGAACAACAACTTTGACCAAGTCCATGACAGACTTATACACTTTGTCATCAGAGCGGTCCAGTTCAGCTGTGGGCGCAGGCTAAGAAAGAGGGAATGATGTGCTTTTTTTAATGATTAAAATACTCGTCCTCATTACTTTAAACTGGACACTATTTTAAATGCTTGGTGACATCAGTGCCCTTTCAACTGAGGGGTAATTAAACTTCTCAAATGTCTGGGTTCATTATAAATTCTTTGTATCTAAAAATCAAAGCTGATAAAATTAAATGGTCTTTTCAGTGAGATAAAAAGATATTACAATCCAAAAAAAAAAAAAAAAAAGAACTGGTATAATTACCTGTGCTGTGAGCCGTGGGGGTTTCTCTGGCGGTGCTGTGAGGCAGAAAGATGAACGTTATAAGAGACAGAGAGAAAGAAAAGGGAGTCAGGAGGACAAAGAGAGAAATAATAGTCTCCAGAATTAATTTAATGTGAATTTCTTTGAGCACTCACCATTCTCTGTGTCAGCTCCAGGGGACTGAAAAGAATAGACAAAGAAAAACCTCATGAGGACTAGAAAATAAACCCTGTCCAGACTGTCTCTGTAAAGACATTCAACACACAATAATGCAGAAAGGTCATCCAAGTAAATAGAACTAACTTCAGACCAAAGTCTTTTTAGATTTAATTTATATTCCAACAGAGAAAAGTATATAGAAATACAAATCTTGTTTTTTATTAAACTGTTTTACTGTATATCCCCTTGCATATTGTATATCTGTGACAATCATTCTATTCATTGTGATTAAAACTTTTACTTATTTTTGGTTTCCTAGAGTTCCCAGAGTTTGTCAACATCAAAAATGAATGCATTGCATTGACATGCGACTTGATTTACGATTGTATTGGATTGTTGCAAATAAATGAAAAGTGCATCATTTAATATATTTGTGATCAAAAGAAGAAGACAAAGGAAAACATGCATTATTTTTACATGACATTTCTCTTATGCGATTTTGTGTATTTACATATATTAAATATAATTAACACTATATATTAATATCATCCAACATACAGGTCAGTGGTTGTAGTGGTTCTTCCTTTTCCGCTAATCGCTGGCATCATTGCACTTTTACGGCTTTGATTTCTTCTTTAAATAATCAGGTTTAATTTGCTGTTGCTTCCTGAAGTTTTAGTTAGATGAATGTTTTCTAACTGCACTGAAAATATCTTGAAAAACCACATAAACTACTCCATGTTGTGTGACATGATGCTGACTACACCCGGCCACTTGTCCAATCGGAATAAGAAGAATATTCCTCCAAAGATAATTGCAAAAACCATCTGGTTATGTTCAAGTATTTAAAATTCTAATTCAACAAGTTTAAATATGTTTTAATTTTCTCCTTTGAGTGAAATCAGAGTGTGTACAGACTGATACCTACCGCTGGGCTGGCAGGATCCTCTGGTCCCATGGGGTCCTGCAAGAGAACAGGCAGGTTCATTTTATAGAATATGGACGTGGACCCTCTCTTTGGAACTGTGATCAGAGGAACATTCAATTTAAGACTAGCGGGGCGTCTGGAGCGAACGGGTGGGTCGGTATTGTTTAATGATGCCTCGCTCAGCGTAGCCTCCAGGGCCACGTTGATTTCGGGGGCGAGGGCACACAGAGACACAGAGAAGGGTTTGACAAAAGTTAATGATGCTCTGTTTCCCACCAGGAGTTTCTCCTTTTTCTGCAGCCACTTATTATCCTCCATCATCTGCGCCTTCTGCTGACGGAGAGTGTCCTGCATATTCCGTTTCTCCCTCTGCCACAGGCGCTGGGCGTCCTCCTTGCTGTTTGGCTCCACTCGGGGAAACTCGTTCTCCTACAAGAGGATAGGAAATGTGATAGGGGGATAAATACCACACAATATTTGTCTCTTTTTTGTCTCTTTTTTTTAATCTCTTGATGCTTTAGTATTGTAGGTTTATCTAAATTTGAACAATGAAGAAAGAACACAGCCGGAAGCTTAAACCTTTAATCTAAGTGCTGAGTGTGTCTTACCCCCATGCTGCGACGTCGTGGGGACCTGACTGGCAGTGCAAGAGTGTTCATGGAGTCAACGGGGGACTGATATTCACAGGGGCTGGCCAGATCAGGGGAGCTGGCACACAAAGCTTCATTCAGCTGCACGGATAAACACATTACATACATACAAACGTTTATTTTATCATATATATTTTTTTTCCAAAGTGAAGTCTGTCATCTTGGAGGAAACTGGCGACTTTAGGGGAGTTACTTGGACACACTGATATACTGTACCTGAATGTGTAGACCAATACTGAGCGTGTTCCCAAACCGCCCTGGTTTCATTCTTGAAGGCTATGGTAAAGGTAAAAAGATTTTTTTTTTTTTTAAATATACATATGCATTAAATTCGTGTGCTATTTTTGGCTGAATGTGAAAGGGATTCATACCTTGGGAGGAGGCTCGTTGAAGTTTAACTTGGGATCAAAATATTTTGTGGAGCGTGCTCGGTCCCTCTCTCTCTCCACCTCCTGCTCCTTCTCCATCTTATGGACGTCACTGACAGATTTAAGACGACAGTTTAGTCTTTGTAAGAGAGGTACAAAAAAAAACACACACACATAATGGGCTTTTTCACCTACTTGACTAAATCACTTCAAATGGATACATCTTTCCTGTTATATAAAATATTTATATATTTTTTATTATCTATATATTATCTCATTTTTAAATTCTTTCAGCTTAAAAACCAGCGATGAATGGACCTAACTTCTATATCAAAGTAGCTCTGAGAAGGTCGTTGGATTAACAGTAAAATAACATCATATCAAATCAGTGTAACTATCTCTGTGAGGCTTTTGTCCTTATTGTTTATGAGGCAAAGGAAACTGACAATTGAGAATAGCAAAACATTTACTGATGAGAAAAACACTTAACATTTATTTATATGAAATGCTGTGGGTTATTTCGTCATATACTGAGGAGAAAACTGGAGTAGTAGGAGGAGCAGACCGAAAGGTCATCACAAGACTCAACTTGTAAATGTGACCTGACTATCTGAGCCTACATTCATTTTTATTCCGTGCAGTCACTTTGTAAGAGGAGAGCTCTTTTCATAATGAATAGAGAAATACCTGATCTTGACCACCAGCTCAGTGAAAGTGGGTCTCTCTCTGGGGTCGTAGGACCAGCAGCGGGTCATGAGTGAGTAGAGAGCAGGAGGGCAGTCGTCTGGTTTGGGAAGCCTGATGCCCTGCTCCAGTTGGTTGATTACGTCTCTGTTCTCCAGCCAGAAAAACGGCTGCTGCCCACGACTCAGTATCTCCCACATACATACAGCTGCAGAGATATACAAACAATAAAAAAAATTTAAAAAAAAGACATGGTCACCCTGTAATTTATTCTTCATGATGAAATTGTGCAACAGGGCTACAGAGGAAAATTTCAAGCAAAGACAAAACAACAGCATGGAGCTCTGTTTGGTGATGAGGACCAACACAAGACGATGAGGCAACGCAAAACTTTTTCTCCTTAAATACTTGAAGAGAAACTTCAATGGAACTATAAATAAACAAGGGCGGGAAAAGAAGACAGAGCCCAAAGACATTCAGTTTACTGTAACATAAGACAAAAGAAAAACAGGAAAACTGAGAAGCTGCTTGAAAAATGACCTAAATGATTAATCAATTAACACGATTGTTTGCCGATTTTCCTGAAATGTTCTGCTATAGAGGGAGACAAATAGCCACTTGTCACCACCTTCCTGTATTCAGGCAAGTACTACTGCATCAGGGGATGAGTCATGAGTAATAAAGACCATTAAGGCTGTTGAGGCTTGTTTGCGAACTCAGGACCTCAATGTATTTGTGATATCAGTTCAAATAATTCTTACAACATCATAAAATCATGCAGTGCTTGTTTAGGCTGATGATTAACCAGCCACCCGTCTTTTGCCACATACGAGTGTCATGTTCGTTCTTTGCACCAAACTAAGCTGTTGTAGGTCAACCACGGCTCACCGAACATCCACACATCACTGGACGTTGTGAAACGTCTGAAGTTGATGGATTCCGGGGCCATCCACTTGATGGGCAACCGAGTAACAGATGCTGCAGGGAAATAGGAGACGTTAGTATTTTTCTAACAACCTTCATTTTTGAAAAGGAATATAAAGAGAAACCTTTTTAAAAATTGGCAACTAAATCATTTTTCTCAGATTTGTTTAAACTTTTATATTTTATGCATAACTTTGTGTCAGACCTTCTGTTTGTGCCAAGAGTGTTTTAGTTTGGAATTTCACAACAACAGACATGCATGTTTCATAAATAATGAGAATTTTTCAGTTATGCAAATGAAAATTTCTCGGCAAAATAGCCATGAGCGTGCAGTTGTTAATGTGGTAAAATGTGGTCACCGTTTTCTTTTATGCAAACCTTTTCCTGTAAAATTATTTTGAAATCTATCTGTCTATTTATCTCTTTCAAATATTATTCAGTTTAATCTGACAGTTGAATGTGTAATCAAATCAGCTTTTATTCTCCTAGTTTGCCTCCGTTACCTTTGTAGTATTCCTCATCCTCGATGTACCTCGACAGACCAAAGTCTCCGAGCTTCACACTGTCTGGACTGGCAACTAGCACGTTCCTAACTGCGATGTCTCTGTGAGAAGACACGAACAGCACAGGAAGAAAGGTTAAACTTTATGTAGGAACAGGTGGAGATGACATATACACAATGTGATTAATGCAAATGCTGCAACATGATGGAGTCCGTTATCGGTGGAGCAGAGTGTCTAAAATAGCCATTAGCCCTCACTGACTGAGCTAAATTTGCTTCTTGGTTACTGAAGCACTGCAATAACAAGCAGAATACAAAAGGAATCTTTACATTTTCCACACAGGCAAAAACCTAATTTTCTTTGTCTGTGTTTCCACTTCACAGGAGATTGAATCCTCGAGTGGCTGCTTTGCTGCCTGAAACCTTTTGATAACGTTCTGCAGAAACGACAAGTGAAACGAGGTCTTCTGTCATCTCATGTCAACTGTAATGTTGTTTAGTATAAATATTTCAACTTTAAATAAAAGGTTTTCCATTGACTTTTTTTTTTTTTCCCGGTTCCAGACCATCGCTGCCTACATCCCAAATTTTGATTGAGTCCAGTATCTCATGGTGATCACAAGATAACTGACCAGATTTCAGAATTATCAAATTATTTTTAACAACATATTGTATTTCAGTCCCAGAATATAACAGACTGTGCCTCTGAAGAATCACAAAAACAGTTTTTTCTTTTCATAGCAGCACCAAAAGGCCTAATTTATATAATTTGTGAAAAACCTATTACTGTACTCCCATCTGAAGGAAATAGACCATTACAAGCAGAGTAATATATGGCCTTGGCTCTCTCCATAACATTAGAGGATGCCTGATAGTCAGGTTTATAATAAACATAAAATTTCAAAATGAAATTTGTGGCTATTTATGCACTGTAACTGTCATTTATTTATTCCACTTTATTCAATCTTATTTTATCTTCTATTTCATTGTATTCTTTTTAAATCATATTTCTCTCTCTTTTTTTACACTGCCTTGATTTCCTTATCTTGTCATAATGCCTTTGTCTGTCTTGTAAACTTTAAATGGACTTGTTGTCCTGCCTGTAGTTTTGTGGCTGGGTTCTTGTACACAGTAGTTTCAAGATTCATTAGTTGTTTCTTGTATAATAATGCGAGTAAGTGACATATTCACAAATACATAGTCTAGTGACCTTTCATAAAAATGTCATAGTTGCCTGTAATATTGCTGTTAATCTACTAAAACACAAAAATATAAGAAAGCACTTTTCTACATTTGTCAGTTGAATGGACAAACTCAACTGAACAGTGTCAGTATCATCACTGCCTGAATACAAAGAGAAAACATTCTTTCACCTGTGTACCAGGTTGACCCCTTCCAGGTAGACCAGGGCTTTGCAGATCTGCAGGCTGAACAGCACCAGAGTTGTATTTGTCAGATTGTTCTTGTTCTGAGTCAAGTAGTTTCCAAGCTGCAACAACGTCAATGTTTAAGTTAGGACAGGAAATGCAAATACATGTAACTGCACCAAAATTAGTCATGACTCATGTTGCTTGTGGACATGACAGAAGACTTCAGTGAGCTGTAGTTCCCTTTTTTGTGTGTCAATCCTGTTGATGCCCTCTTAAACTGAAACACATCAGTTCAATTATGATTGAAATCAAATAAAATATATCATGAAAATCGTGGCTGACACTAACCTCTCCGTGCTGATAGAGCTCCATGACAATCCACACAGGATCCTCCTCTATGATCCCAATCAGTTTGACGATGTGAGGATGGTCCAGGTTCTTCATGATCACTGGAAAATCCACAGAGTTCACAAATTTTAATGTTTGTAACTCTCAAAGTTACCGTAACTAATGCCGCCCTGTTATTTTCTACACTTTACCTGCTTCACTCATGAACTTCTCCATCACATCGGGTGAGCAGTCTTTGCAGGTTTTCACTGCCACATTGATCCTGTCTCCATCCTGTTCAATCAACAAACAAAGAGACACGGATTCTGTAAACATTTGAATGGGATTTAATAAGAGCAATTATGTAAACAGCAGTGGACATAACCCTGTTTGTATCATTAAAGTGAATATTGTCTAGTCTTTAGTACAACTGCTTTAGAGATAACCTTACAGTTTTTAATCCCTTATTGCTGTTAGTGTTGATATATATATATATATATATATATATACACACACACATACAAAGCTATATAGAAAGTTATATATACATACATAAAATATATAGTCTATATATACATACGTAAAATACACTTACAGGTTTTTTGTAAAATCCATCATAGACTTCCCCAAAAAACCCCTCACCGAGAATCCGGCCAAGAACGATGTCATTTCGGTCAATACCGTACTTCACTAATAGAGAACAACATTTGTTAAAGCTCAAAAGTGAGTTTATACGATAGGTCTTATTCTGCAAAATACATGAACACCATCTTTGGACAAACCTGATTTCGGCCTTTCATCAAGAATCTCACAGTAGATATCTGACCCTGCAAATACAAGAGAAAGAACTTCAGTACCTCCCTCAATATATTTTTTGCAGGATAATTACAGACACATTTGGCTGGTAATGAAGACCGTGCTGTGTTGTACAATGGAGGTTATGTAATACTATGAAAACTGTCAGCTCACCCATACTGTGTCTGACCGAGCTGGTGTCTCTGCTGCTCCAGAGAAAAAAAAAGACAGAATGAGAGGAAGCCCCGGTCATAAATATACAAGTTATGGCTCCTCAGAGCGCTGACAGCATGATTCAATAAAACAGTCCCTCTCATCAATAAATTACTTTTCATTTCATATTATAACCAAAGGGAATGAGTACAGCTTGGACTCTGCAGCTACAATGAGGCACAAATCATTCAAAGTTATAAAACAGTCAAAATCCACTCACCCTGTGGGAATCTCAGGGAGGGAACTTCGTGGATTAGCATCTAGGATAGAAATTAGATAAGATAATTCCAGTAAAGTTTAAATAATACATTTCTCAAAAGACTCTAATTAAGCTTTTAAGTCTTCCGACTTTGTTTCAATCACAGTGGTGTTAAGAAAACAACAGGGGAAGTAGCTTAGTCATACGCACCTTTATTTGGTCGGTAGATAACAGTATCATCTGTTTTGTTTTCCAAGCGGCAGTATCCATCAATAAGGTCCATCATGTTTTCCGCCATAGGGACTGTGACCACGTTGATCGATAGACGCTATCAGAAAGAGGAAAAAAAGGACAATGGAGGCACATATTACATTTCCTGTGCAATCATTCCCTTTCTAACTCTTACTGGCTATTTTCAACACTGTATGAAGAAATATTGTATAATACGTGGATTGTGTTGTTGCGGTACTCACTTGTCTGGCCCCCTCTATCTCGAGGTTTAGGAGAGCCTTGCCGTCGCTCTGAGATAAGCATTGTACTTTCTTGATCTGTTTGAAGTCGGCAAGAAACACAGCCTGAGGCACAGAAGAGAAGGAATGCAATACGTTAAACGAAGATGGGGCTGATTACATTTGTAATACAGTGTGAGATACATAATGATGTAGTATCCACTGACGGCTGTGAACAATGTCAAGAGATGTCTCTGCAAAACATGTCTAGACACGATAAGGTGGTGTGGCAGGATTCCTCTCGTTTATCCCACCAAACTGTCAGTATAGAAAATGATATGTTGATACTTTGATGCAACAGTTGAACATTTTAGGAAGTACGCTCCTTCACTTACTTACCAAGAGTTAGATGAGAAAATTGATGTCACTTTCATAACTGTATGCTAAATATGAAGCTCCAGCCAGAAGCCGGTTAGCCTAGCTTAGCTTAGCATAAAGACGGGTAACAAAAATCCGACTACCACAACTTCTAATACTGATATAATACTAATCTGCACAAAAAATGGAATGTAAAAACAACAAGTGGTGATTTTACGGAGCGGTTACGTGCCAGACCAGGAGCAGTTGCCAGACAACCAGCGAGACTTCAAGAAGTAGCTGTTAATCAGTGAGCTTTAGAGGTGTTGTAAGGTGGATTTTATTACTTTTGGACAGAGCCAGGCTAGCTGTTTCCCACTGTTTCATGTCTTTTTTGCTAAGCTTTATGCTCTGTAACCTCTGCTAAAATGAGCAGAGGCTGTACTGCAGGATAAAAACCACAGATCTAACTGGCTGCTGGCTTAATTTGTAACATCTAGACATGAGATCAATCTTCTCATCTAACTCTCATCTCGTCTCATCTTACAAAAAAGCAAATTGTTGTTCTTCCCAAGAAGCCCCAACTAATCATTTAACAAGAATCCTAGAAACAAGGCAAATGACATATATAACACCACAGTGTTCTCTATGATGGAAGAAATACTTAAATCTTCACCACGCTTACCGCTGAATTCTTATGTGTGCGTTGGCGAATGCCTCGCCCGCCGATGACCAACTCCACTGACAGGCTCCAACCTTGCTGTTGACAAATGAGAATGATTTAAGGCCCTGTGCTCGTGGATCCGTCTGCGCAGGGCTCGGTCAAACACAGTGCAGCCCAGTGCATCAAAATCTACTCAGGCATTTTCATGGCCAAGAGCACTTGGAAGCGGGGCAGGGTCCGAAAGATTACATTATCATAAATTATAGGAGGGCATGTTAGAGGTTGTGAGCACCATGGCCAATCACATTCAACTACTTTCATCCCCTTAAAACACAGCACGCTCCCTGTCGTCACAACAGACTGGGAACACAGTAGGGAGCTTTCCTCAGAGGAAACTTCTTGTTGTCTGGGATGTTAAAATATGAATACAGCAGCTCAGATTTACCGCCAGGAGCAGATGATGTCTCCTGAAGAAATTATGATCATCGTGTTTTCCGTGCGCGTTGGTGTATTTATCATACAATGCTTCAGAACCATCTGCTGTTAAATACCACCGTAGTGCCATATGTACAGTGAAAGCAGTTCAATGCCAATGCAGGCTTTTTTCTTCTTTTTTTTTTATATTGTGCTCTTAATTTCTGAAAATATTTATAGTGTTTAATTTAATCTGGATTGACCTGTTTTACATGGAAAAATGATTGCTGACGTTCTGATAAAGAAATATTTGCCTGCTTCACCTTCATGTTGAGACATATTGTGGCATGATAAATTGAAACTTCAGCCAAACTCAAACACCGCATCTCGGGCCTTGCGCTGGCACGAAAAAACAGAGCCCTTAATGTTTGTAACATTAATGTGAACAAGAGTAAAATCCCTGTTTGGAGCGCCTAAATCCACAATAACAACTATGACGGGATTTAGAGGAAGAGCGCATCAGTGTCAGTAACAGGCTGAACATGTCACTCACCACTAGTTCACAGGGGAAGACCTCTTCATCGAAGTTGACGAAATCTTTGAGGGTCTCAAAAAACCTGACCATGCAGTCGTCCTCCTTGAGTGTGGCGTACTGTTGAAACGTCTGCTGAATCAGCTTCCGTAGCTGCTTCGACTGGATCACAACAGGGACATTTGAAATGACGAAACACAAGTTTACACAACATAAATTTAGCACACGTCTGAATCACGTACGGTCGGTGTAATTGGGTTGAAAATTGTTGTGGAACTCTTTATCTGTTACTCTCTGCGCTCACATATACAGTGTTTTAATGCAGATGCTGTTCTCATTTACATGTTTTTCTATGTCTGTTGTCAGACAATGGAACTAGTATGAAATAGTGACTGAAACGCGGCACATTAAGACATGTTAATCAGATTTAATAACCGCAACGTCGTCCGATAAAATCACAATGGACACAAGTGAACGACTGTGATGATCACTCAGAGAGAAAGCTAGAAGCAACTTAGGATGTTTTCACACATCGTCGTCTTTAAAAAAGGAACCAAACTCAGTCCTATTAAAGTGGACCGACAGAAAAGACACTCAGTTCCTTTTTTGATTTTTTTTTCTCTCGTGAGTTAATTTGAAAAAGGACTCCGTTCTCTTTATGGTTCACTTCAGCTCCGATGGAGCCTCAGTCCTCTTTTTGTTCCCACCATAGATCCTCTAGATCTCTCAGACCTTTACTGCTTTGGATTATGGGTAGCTTTAAATTAGTAATATTGTTTTACTAATTTAGTTAAATCAGTAACGCAATCTAGTATATTCTGTATGTAGTGTAGAGTGTACAGTAGACAGTGTATATTCTACCACAACTCATACTACTGTACTAGAATATACGATATATTCGGTTCACTTCAGAGGTGTCTGGGTTCATTTGGAGTGTTCACATATGCGTAAAAAATGCTGACGAATCGCACTGAGTTCGTTTTGAGGCCTGAAAGGGACCACGTGTGAAAACAGCGTCTGTCTGGGGAACAAGGTGCTGTTCCACCTCTCTGCTTCTCACTGAACAGACTCGACACAGAGATGTTCCTCTTGCTACTTTGATGGAAAGTAGCTAAAGTTTGTCCAAAAAAGTCGCCACATTTGTTGCTAGGTGCTTTTTTGAAAAAGATGCAAAAAATTGACAACACTGCAGGTTGTAGACCCCCCCCCCCCCAAGGATAGGATAGTTTACCTTCATGCTGTTGATCAGTTGTTGAGGAAAGAACAGGTCCAGGCCCACTTCTTTTCTTCATTTGTAAAGACACGTAGAAAGAAAAACAGGAAGATAGAGGAATTAAAGACGTGAATATTGCTGCAAGATGAACACATCACAATGTTCCTAATGTCAAAAATGGATTGTAAAGTTGCTACCAGGCATTTCTAACATTTAATAAACTCTAGGTTCATTTCATTTCATCATCAAAGAAATAAAGTTAAAAGAAAATAAAAACTTACTCTAGCAGCTCAAAGTTAGACTTCTTTTCTAGACCTTTTGCATTCATGTCTTTATAGAACCTCCTGTAAAAACACAGTAAAAACAAAGCAGGTGAGGTTTGTGCAGCATAAAACTAACAAACTCAATCACCTCACCCTTATCACTCTCAAACAAGCGGAATGACATTGTTTAATCAGCAAGCGCAAAAGAATGCAGACTCACCTGATCTCCAAGCAACCGAGCTGCAGTGCCATCCCATCGCTGACTTTACTGGCATGATACTGCATGTAATCACTACGCACCTGTCGTAAAGTTAAACAGAGAAATCAGATATACCAACATATACTCCAGTAACACTGAACTATTACACTATTATGAAAATAATTTGGATATGATGGCAAAATTGAAATGTATGATTTTTTTTTATTTTTTTTATACAATCCCCGACAGGGAGTGATGGTTTATTTTTCTAATTATTATTAGTAATTATAGAGCTAAAGGTTTTATTATTATATTGTATCATTATTACATGTAGATGTGTTAATAAAAAGGAGTGCCACCTACAGAAACCCAAACATTACCAACACAAAACCAGTCAGGGAAAAAGTCATCACTCTACTGGTCAGTGCAGTGTGAGAACACTACTTCTTACTGCCAGATATCTATTGATCTACAACAGCCAAAAAGTTTTAAAAAATAAATAAATAAAATACACTGTAGTTTGTTACCTGTTGGTAAAAATACAGCAATGTAGATCTGTCATCTGTGAATTTTTCCAGGAAATTGACAGGAACGTATCTGATACGTAGGTCGTACCTGTAATCAAGAAGAAACCAGCGGAGTTTATCAAATGCAGTGTTTTAATTTCACACGCTGTAAATATGTCTCATATCATTCAAACTATAGATTGAAAAAAAAAAGAAGAAATCATGGATAAACATCCTAGTAATCCGTCTGTACCTCCACTCAGCTTCCACATGATGGCTCTCGTAGCGTTGTTCTACCTCTCCGACAGTCAGATCCGGATGCAGCCAGTGAAGTTCTTCAGACTTCAAGTGTTTCAGCAGGAGACCGTAGGATCCCGTATGTTTGATGTTCGGCCCCAGTCGACCGCTCACCAGGATCGAACGAATGATGGCCTGAACCAGATGCAATGAGCAAAGTTCAAAAGTCCTCATTCAAATTTTTGTCATGGATTTTTAGTCACCCTCGCCAAATATTAGACTCTGTGGTGGACAGACATGAGACAAAGCACTGGCAATATGTTTTGTTTTGTTTTGTTTTTTTTGGCCTTTTGCCTAGAATTCATCAACAGCTTAAGAAAGACAAAACAACATCTTCTCCAGCTCAGGTACCAACAAGAACCACATGCTTCAAACTTGACAGATTTTCTTTGTTACCAAAATCATCCAAGATAAACTAAATCCCCCCTTTAATCACAGTCCTCTGACACGTCAACTCCCTTCCCCATATTTTGTAGACGACTCACCCTAATCTGCCAGGAGCTATCACATTTGACCAGCTTGAAGTTCTTGCCCAGGTTGTTGTTGGTGCAGAAGCACACCTTGAGGATCTTGACGGGCCCTCCGTCGCCAGCGAACTGTGATTCGGGGCTGGACTCGGTGCCACTTTGTCTTGGACTGGCCACCTTCCAGGACAGGGTGTCACTGGACATCACCTCGTACATTTTCAAGATTGGGTTGGCAGCATCATAACCACAACATCCTGTCGACAGAAAAAGGAAAAAGATTGGAATTTAGATGTTATGTGAATAGTAATATTTTGATAGTGTCAACCATAGTAGGCGACCTACAAGAGTGAGGAGAGTTTATTTTATTTAAACTCAAGCTGCTTTTTAAAATTGCAATCCAGGTGAAACAGACATTCAAATGTATCCAGTGTATTGAGGGAAGGCCTGTGATGACACTTCTGTCTGTACACGCCACTCTGTGACTTGCTACAGCATAGTATGAGAGTCATGCTACTCTTCACATTCATGCTGTGATCTTGTGCCATGTGGTGTCTGACTCACATCATTTCATTCTGAGATCCGCCGATTACATTCCTTCCTCAAGTGAGGGCCTGTGTGTTTCGTAGAGCAGTGACAGTGAGTTCTATCATCAATATCGACAGGGAGAAACTCCTTAATGTTTCTCTTTTTTTCCACTGCAAAGGCAAATACAGGTGAAATTTCAATAGAAAACACAATGTGGGAGCGACAGCCTGCGGGAAACTAACCGTCCGCAGGTTACACGGGAAAACAAAATTTAGTAATCTGAGACGACACTCACCGGAAACCAAACTACAGCGAATAGCAGAGTGATTACTAACCAACCGCATACCTCAGGGCACTTATGCAACCTCTGTTGGTTTGTCCGACATTCAGGACTGAGGTGAGAATAACTCCAAATGAAAAGAAATTGTTTGATATTTTGGGAAACACTTACTTACTTACTTACTTACTTACTCGCTTTATTGGCAAGAGTTAGATTGATCAGTCTCATGCTGGTCTGTTCAACATTAAACTAAAGCCAGGCTACGTTATCTTAGCTTAGCATAAAGACTGGAAACATGAGAAACAGCTTGCCAGGCTGAAGGTAACAATGTCTGCCTATCAGCACCTGTAACGCTCGCCACCAAAAACTGACAAATGTAAATTTCATAGAAAACAGACCTTTTACAGCGACTCAGAAATTGGTTAGCTTTCCTGCAGCAATGGAAGTAAATGAAGCCCTGAAAGTTAGTGCAAACAATCCCTCCAGGTTTCCCAACTTGTGTTGATGACTTACAAACCCTCTGTCTGTACAAAAGGCCGTGTGGGGATCAACTGTGTTACTACACACTCTGATGCATTACTGGGACAGCACTGTACTGCAGGAAGTAGTAGCCTACTGTGTATTTATATTATGATGGTGAGAAAAAGGCAGTGAGACAGAGTGGTTGGTCAGAGGTTGATCCTACAGTAAGATAACGAGCCAAAAGGACAGGTCTCCAGACTTAAACCCCATGGAGCTGGTTTGGGCTGAACTGGACAGAAGATGAAAGTAAAGCAAACTTCAAGTGCAACATAACTACTGCAACAGTGTTGTGACAAACTCTCAGAACAATATTTGATTTCTATTATGGGACTGACACCATGAGGGGCTCTGGCTCAGGAGGTAGAGCAGGTCGTCCACAAATCGGATGGTCAGTGGTTCGATTCCTGGCTCCTTCAGGTCAAAGTGTCCTTGGGCAAGATACTGAACCGCAAATTGCCTCTGATGTGTCGTTGGTGTGTGTGTGTGTGTGTGTGTGTGTGTGTGTGTGGTGGATAAATGCTGTGTGAGTTTGTGAATGGGGCTTGTAGTGTAAAGCACTTTAAGTGGTCACTAAGACTGGAAAAGTGCTATATAAGTGCAGTCAGTTCACCTTTTACAAGAGCTGTCGCATGAGGAAAAATGTAGATGAAAGTAGATGATCCTATTTGTTTGTTTTAATTACAAAAACACTGAGGTATTAAACTACAAAAATATCAATAAAAAAAAAAAAATGGAGGAGTTGTAAAACTTTTGACAAGTAGTGTCTGACTGTTTCTTGGCTGAGTGCAGTGACTGTGAGGTTGTTTTACACTTCCTTTTTTTGTAATTGACTAAACAAACAAGATTTTTAGATAGGAAGCTTTAAATGTGCCAGTAGGTGGATTTTGTTACTTTCGGACAGAGTGGGCCGAGCAGCTTGCCCCTCTTTGTGTGAAGCTCCGCTAACCGGCTAACATCTACATATTTACTGTGCAGCAACGGGCAACAGGAGAGTCTGCTCCATCCGCTTAGGTTTAAACAAACACGGTGATGGATAGTGAACATCAGGAAAAAGAAAACTCCAGCACACAGCCACAACTAAACACCAGGAAGCAGTCGATTCAAACGTCTTCAGTATAGGTGGAAAAGCTGAAACCCTGCACACGCTTTGATAGAGCTTTAAGGTGACATCTGTCAGGAAAAGACACCCAGAGCAGCTCTCACCTTACAAACCCAACCATCCGTCTGACTCTGCGCCCCTCATCTTAACATTCTGCTCTGTTAATCAAAAATCGGAGGACATATATAAGAGAGAGCTAAATACTTCAAAGCTGCCTTTACAACACACCCAGTTGTGACTTCGAGATTTCTCCCAGTTACCCACCTCACAGCAGTGTCCGTCAGTAAAGTGCCTTTTAGCTGTCACAACATGTTTCCTCATAAATGGAGCTCCTCGCTGTTAGTCCGCTGTGAGGGAGCTGAGCTGTGTTAGTTTCTCTCAGGGTTTTCCGTCGCTGTTGGACAGGGTTGTGTTTTGTTAGCCTGAGGCCATGAATTCCCCAGCAGGGCTGCATGTGGGTGTGTTTGTGTGTATGTGTGTGTATGTGTATGTGTGTGTGTGTGTGTGTGTGTGTGTGTGTGTGTGTGTGTGTGCGTGTGTGTGTGTGTGTGTGTGTGTATAGTGAGAAAGACAGAAAGGAAAAGAGAGAGAAGATGAGTGTGTAGCGCACCGGCATGTTGCACCATCACCTGGGTGTGGAAGGCCTGACAGAGGTGATTGAGGAGAGGGTGAAGTTTAAGACGATTGCTAAGTAAGAAAAAAAACGTCCAGGGATTAAAGTGTGTGGAGGACTGGATATAAATACATTCCTTGGCTGACGTGGAAGAAACAACAAGTAAACATAGAGACATGTGTGCATCACAGAGACTGTAAAATCTGCTGTGCCAAAAATATTTTGCATGTCTTACAGTGGACCTCTAAGGGAAATGACAGATAAAGATGAACGGTGAAGTAGATGTACTGGTGAAGGGCTGAACACAACTATGTGGAACAACAACAGAGAACAAACTGAGGAGGGAAAGGAAAGAAAAAGGTCTGACTGATGAAGGACACCATAAATAACTTTGGTTGAGGTGAAGCTTTCACTGTTGAATCCCTGCGACCTCTCGTCCAGTTCAGGTAACGAGTGTGTGGGACTTTTTTTTGTTGTCTAGTTTTAGTCTTAAACACTTAAACACTAAAATGCAGAACAATGGGACATATAGAGTATAGCGAAGGGCTGGATCTAGTCTGGTGTAACAAATCTCAGTTAGGTACACACCAAAATGTCAAAACATGTTACCATCAAATTACAGCTGTAACAATTAATCAATTGATCCATCAGCAGATTGACAGAAAATTTATTGGCAACTATTTTGTTAGTTAATCAACAGTTTAAAAGTTTTGGTCACTCAGCTGCACTTTTTGGAAATCATGGTGGACATTTTTGAACTATTCTCTGACATTTTGTAAACCGAAGAATTACTGGTAAGTGATTAATCACAAAAGTAATCAGCAGATTAATCAATAAAGCAGCCACCTACGTGACTGCTCAGATTAGTTGCCTTTTTACTTGTTCTCAATCGCATACTTACGTTTAATATTTTTGAATTTCGCATTCTTTGTTAAATATAACAAAAGAGCTTTGGAGGAAAAAAATGGTGTCAAAGTCGATTTTTTAAACAATACCCAGTCCAGGTGCTCTCGTGTTTTGAATGCAATCATTTCATTTCATCTTGTGACTACACTGAACCTGTTCCGCTAAATCAAGCCACGCTAATACTGTAATTTTGTAGGACAGGAGTCTACCAATTACTTTATAAGCAGGGCAGTCTTGTCAGGCAGAGCTCCAGCAAAAACTAAATAAATATGAGGCACAAAAAAACACACTGAAAAGAAAAAAAAAAAAAAAAAGCTTCCAATTAAAAACACTGACAGCCATGAAGTCCTTTCTTCTGCTTGTTTCTAACAGCACTCTAGGTTTTGTAAGTGAATAAAAGCGACAGTGTTGTTGCTTCTCTCACACACTGTCATGCTGGCACTTGAGTTGTTATGGTAACAACTGTTCCTTCCCGAGGGAGATTTTTATCCCAAACTGTGCCTGAGGTAGAGTGAACAAACTCTTTCAACACTCAGCCACAACAAACGCTGCAGCAGGACACAAAGATATGAATATTTATCCGGATTAAATGCAAATTACTGTTTGGCGTTCTTCTGTTTCTAAACTCTTGTGTTTTGCTCTACATGGACACCGTCTACTGCTGCGATGTCCGAGGGTGAATGGCAGGGGGTGATACTGGGTGAGAGATAGTGACAAATGAGAATGAAATTCCACGGTGGAGAGGCAACAAACGTCAACAAGGCTGCAGCTGAGAGACCTGAGAGGAGTCTGTGGAGAAACACTAGCGTCATTTCGCAATACAGTTTTCTGTAGGAGCAATAATTCCCACTGCACACACCTAGGGAAATGTGTGAAAAAAAATCTACCACAATAAACCACAAGTGTCAAAGCGTCACGTCCTCCAAGAATTAAAAGCTTGACAGAACCACAATAAAGAGGTCTGACGTTTCTTTATTTAATGACCTTTTAAATGTGCAACACTGTTGTTAATGCCGGACTATCGTGCAACAAAGGCTTTAGTCCTGATGATATTCAGTCCACTCACACGGTTCCTTTTACAGCTGGACAGACAAATTGTTTGGGGTCATTTAGAAACAGTTTGTTTCACCAGAAAACCCAGAGAAGTTTATTTTTCATTTATAAAATGTCCAACTCACTATGTATCTTGGTCACAAACAGAAACTTACCATCAGCAGATATATCAAGATCAGTATCAACCTCAAAAATCCGGTGCTGGTCCTACACATCTCTGACTGATAAGTACTGCTTAAGTAAACTGCACAGTGGTGCAGTGGAAGAGGCACGGTCACTCTCATGACATGCACCGCTGACAGTGTTATCACACAGTGTTTCTGTGTAATGACATTATAGGAAAATCATCAGCAATCTATTCTCAGAAATCATATTACAGGCATGCGACATTACCAATTTTAATTTTTAACAGACTATGTTTTCTTTTCAAATGTAATTTAGGAAAAGGAAGTTTTCAAGATATAAATCTGGTGCTTGGTAAACGAACTGTAAGTTTTGAGGTATTGATGACTCATCATTAAAACGTGTGAAAAGAGCTACTTCTTCTCTGATAAAGACCAAGTTACACTATGAATGATTTTTTATTTATTTATTTTTTTAAAATGCAGCAATTACACTGAAGCTTCTTTTTCTGGTAGGTGCCTGTCAACACAAGCAGACATCCACAGACAGGCCTGCTCTCTAAACACTGTTGTGTTGAGGGTCTGCATATTGCAACGTCATGACCCCAGGCACTGGAATGTGGCTGGCTGCTGCTTCACCTGCACAGACATGCTTTGATAATGAAGAAAGTTCTCTCTCTGGGAGAAAATGGCAGTTTGTACTTCATATTGTTTGTACTTCACATTGTGAAAATGCAAGTATGCAAGCCTCAAAGCCAAGTTTCAAACTCTGCACCGTCCCACAAGGAATAAAAACTACTTTAAAGGGGAAAACACATGTTGTTTGTAACCAGTTGAAGCACACATCGGGACATTAAGGATCATGTCAGTGTCTGAATGCAGGCCTTTCTGTTTATATCATTAACGTCTATAAATGTGGGCCTATAGCAGCCGCTCCTCTTAGTTGTAATAAGTCATTAAGCTCACCTCACCATAAAAGAGGCGAAGTCAAACTGAAATAAACATAAACATTTTTTATATTTAAAGTCTTACCTGATTCTGATTTAAATCCTCTTGACAGAAAGTGTTATTCCTCTCGAGGAGTCCGGGCCTCACGGTTTGTGTCACACTCCGTGAATTGAGCAAGAAGGTGGCAGGTGGCCACTCCCTCACCTCTGCAGCCCCGCTGTAAGGAAGGCCCACTTCCTTATTCCATGAATCTCATACTAAGAACATGGCGGGTCGCCTGTTACAAGTTGATGATACAAGCGTGGTTGTGTGTTTGTTTCTTTTTCTTTCAGACGCGCACATGATTTTGAAATGTTCTGGTTGATTTCAAAACTAATTTCAAAACTCAAACAACAGCGTAAGAAGTTCATTGAAATGGCTGTGGTTTACAAGACTCTCTGTTCATTACGTTACTTCATGCCATAAAGCAATTTGACCCTTTCCGTATATTTCCGTATATTGAATTTTGGTCGTTTATGTTTACTTTGTTTCCCCTTTGTTTTTATTCGTCGTCCGTGAAAACAGTTATTGGTGTCATAGTGTGTGATTACACCGAGTGAACAGCAGAGGGCGCTGGAGGATAGAAAAATAATTCAGCACGTTAAGGTTGACTTAAAAGGTCCCACCGTGTTCAGACAGTAGAGAAAGTATAGTATAGTATGTATAGTATCTCCGCTTATACATTCCAGGTATATTAACATATAATTCAAGTCATGGATGAAAAATAAGAATGTTTTTTGTGTGTAATACTAATATTCACAAACATATTAATAAAAGTTTATTAAAGAGCAAAATTTACAGCAAAACGGCAGTGAAAAAATCTAAGGCACAAAATTGGATTTAAAAAAGAGAGAGAAGAAGAGCAAGGTGCAAAATAAATAATGCCATGATGCTGGGGGGTTGAATGAATATGAGAGAGTTTTTCTCTCATAAAGCTACAATCGCAGTTCTGACTAAGTTACACGGCAGCCAGATAGACACTAGAAGTAGCATCAAATGCACTGAAGAGTTTATGGATATGGTACTTTTCAGTATTCAAGTCAAGAACAGGTTGACAGTGTATGAGTCTTTAAAATCACCCTTCCCTACACCAAACAACATAAATGTATCTTTTCAATCAACAAATCGACACATTTGTTTTATTTTCATCAGTCCAAAACATTTAGCTGTAGATGGTCCCAAAACAGATTCACTTAAGTTTCATTACTACTTTTCATTATTATCGTACATTTTAAGTGTAGTATCCTAGCCCTTCTTCCACCACTACACACTGAATTATTATGTCTATGTGCTTGATGAGTTAAGGTTTATGATTAGTTGCCATTTCGACATAAACAAATAAAGCTAAAATGAAATATTTCTTTTTATTTCAGGACCAGGGTAAAAAATACATAAAAACATCAAGGCGAAACATAACTGAGCAGCTTGGTATTGCTTGAATGTTTTTCATTGTGTCATCACATTATACACCCACAATGACAGAATGACTAGAATAACAGTGAATCATATTATTAGCTCCTTTGCTGCTCACTGCCATAACATATCTGATACTTTTCCTTCAACACCTCATTCTCCCTCGAGAGGGGCGCAAAAGACACTCTGCATGAGCATGCCACACAGCCACCTGTGTGCCCCCGAGTTTATGTTTCTAAATACTGGCACGCCTCCATACAGGGAGGTGGCACCCGGTGTGGGCACAAATGAAGGAGGACGGGGGTGTGATGGTGATGATTTAGGAGTTTTAGGGAAGGAGGGGCCTTAAAAAGTCAGCGATAATGATCACCAGTGAACAGTGAAACCATTGCATCTGCGAGAGCTTACCACTGCAGTGCCCATGCCTGCTACTGTCTGAATGCATACAAATCCGAGATTGAACGGCAGCTGTTGTGGATTCTTGCCCTTGACACAGCTCTGGTCTGCTGGGTGGTGGGTGTGGTTTGGACTTGTTCTGCCCCAGACTTGAACTCCCCTACAGCTGTCACTGTTCCACACAGCTATGCCGAACCCCCTGGCACAGAGGGGAGCACTGGATGCTACAGTGAGGGAAAAGACAGAGTGATGAAAAGATGCTACTGACAAGTCCAGAAATCAATGGCTTTTACATATATTGTAGAATGTGTTTAGAAATATTCAAAGAAGACCAAAAATTTACCATATGTGTCAGTGAAGATGACCCTTCTTTAAAAAATTGTCTATGTTGGACTGTAAACACAGTTTCCTCCTTAATGCTGGTGACAACATACAAGCTTTATGTCTACTTATATGGCTTACTGAATGGCCCTACTGGACACAGGTTAGTGTTAGCATTTCTTATTGAGAAGTCAATCAACGGACTACAAAAAGATGCAAAATGACTTCAAAGACACTCCAAATGATACAAAAAAGAAGAAAAAAGACGCAAAACCACCACAGAGACACTCTAGCAGAGACAAAATGACCATGAAGAGACACAAAGCAACTAGAAAGAGATGCTGAATGACTGAAGAGACAAAAACCAAGCACAAAGAGATGCAAAATAAAACTACAAAGAGACACAAAACGACCACAAACACATGCAAAATTACCGCAAACAGATGCAAAGCAACCACAAAGAGACATAATATGACCACAAAGAGACACAGAGTGAGCACCAAGAGTTGTCTGGGTGTGATCAGTCCGTGCTCCTAGAGGGAGTGGAGGCCTTTTTACATTTCTGTACATGTGCTAGACCAGGCTTCATACACTAACAGTATCACAGCTGGAGGTTGTGTTGCCATGATGTTGAAAAGTAAACTAAAAAGGGAGCACTGCACACCAAATTTCTAAATACAGCATCGAAACCTGCTAGAACTTACTTGAATGCAGGTACATCACAATCCTCATTCATGTCTTTTTAATAGTTATTGGACACAGATAGATAGGATAGGATAGATAGATTGTTAGTTTTTGTCTGTTCATGGGATTGTCACACATATTATTACACGTATTATTAGATTTTTTTATTTTTATTGCTGATTAATTGATGTAAAAGCAGCATTCAAGTAGTTCAAAATTGTACATAAGAACACTACTAAATATAGTTAATTACTATTCCACTACTGCTCAAGTGTGAGTCTATTAAGATTTCCAAAGTCACCGTCATGTCATTGTATTTTTCCTTCTATTACCGGCCTTGTTAGTGTTTTTTATCAGCAGTTCTTTCTCTGTCCACAAGAGGATTCATAACACCAATCGTCCGATGGTGCATGAAATATTATTTGTTATGTTCAAAAGCTTTAATGAATGTTTATTCTACCAATGTGACACTTTTGCCCACAACATCTGATGGTGTTGCCCTCCCCAAGAGCAAATCTTTCTGCTGAACTTGCCACAGACATTTTGGGGTCGAATCATATTGAGGCTATTTTTAGAGGCCGCTCTTTTATGAGGGATGAAGTGTTAGAAAAGCTCTGATGACGCCCACTCTTGTCCTCCCACCGTAATGACCAAAGACCCCACCCTGAACGCTCACGGTGCAAATGGTTTCCATGGAATGCTTTGATCTTATAGTTCGCCCCCCCCCCACCGCCCACCCCCCCACCCCACCTCCTACTAACTCTGTCATAGAAATCCTTGCCCCACCTTCTGTCAGTTTAATAATGTCTGAAATATTTATCTTTCCCTTGACGGTCATTAAGTCTACATTCTTCCACCGTTAACCTCTGAGGTCAAAATGTTGTTGACATCACTTCTCTGAGTAATGGCTGGGTATGACTTGCCCATGTTTCTCTGTTTGCTCACCTTTTGACTTGTGGAACGGACACCTGCAAGACAAAGAGATCGGACACCAGAACGCCACAGGAGAAACAGGGGAGTTATTTGGTCTGGGTAGCAGGTGTGTAAGTCTCCAGTGTTTATTTGTGTGTGTGTGTGTGTGTGTGTGTGTGTGTGTGTGTGTGCGCGCGTGTGTGTGTGTGTGTGTGTGTGTGTGTGTGTGCAAATTTGTGTGTGTCCTATAAAAGGGGTGGCCACTGAATCCCATCCAAACTCAGCGGGAGTCCACAGTGTTCACCGAGGTGTGAAGTGGCCCGGGCCAGGAGTTGATTAGAAACCTGGCCTGCATTACAATAGAGGTGAGAAGCAGCAGGGGCCCCACATTACGGGTTTAGCAAACAAGTTAAAATGCACAAGAATATCCCATGTGTGTCCTTAAAGAGGTATTCTGAATAGAGACCTGTTGTTTAAAATGATATACAATTAAGCCTCCTGGAGGAAAGAGTAAAGGTCACACTGCTGGTTAAATGGGTCCTGTGGTAACAGCAAGAGCAGGTCATTAAAGACAGGTTTGACTGGTAAACAAAAAAAGTAAGATAAGCCTGATTGTCTTACAAAAAGGCTTTTTAAATTTTCACACAGACTCTCAAATGTTGTGGAAATTGAGTGTTAAATGACAAGCCTTAAAAAAAAAAAAAAAAAAGCTTATTTCGAATCGAAACAAAGAACAGAACTGTTACATTTTCAGTAAAACAAAAACTCTTAACAGTGTGAGTAAAATAAGATAAACTTAACTGATCACATAGAGACATTTAAACAACAGTGCAACAAATCAATGGTAAAGATTAGTAACTTAAAAAATTTAGAATACTTCTACTCTTTAAGTATCAACAATACACAAATGCAACATGGAAGAACAAAAGTAAAAGGCGCTTAATGCTACACACACCTACATAAATAGAAAGTCTGAAGCAGAGATAAAAATAGTCAGGGTAGTTGCATTAAAACTACTTTTCTTTTCCTGATTAACTGTAACTTGTAAAAGTGATGATAGATCAAAGACAGTTAAAAATAGAACACCGCAAACTTCCTTTTGTACATGCAGATACTGTGGTGACGTCAACACATGACACAAAACACATTTACACAACTGCAAAAGGGAGGCATGACCTGGAATAACCTGTGTCTTCAAGTTAGCAAAGGAGTGTTGCCAATGTTAATGAAGTAGAGACATTATTCTGACGTCTCAGGTCAATTGTCTTTCCCTAAAACAGTTTTTTGGCGACCTGGGGGCAGTGCATCAAGCTTTAACCAGCGGGTGGTCGAAACTACCAAGCTACGTTCACCAGCTAATTGCTGACTTTGCTTCTCGGCTAT